GTGACCTTTGGGACTGTTGCCAGTGACAACTTTTACCAACAGAAACATGGCAAGTCCCTTGGGGTATATCTAAGTTTTAAATATCGAAAGACTGAAATTTTGTCCATTCTTTCTTTCTGAACAGCTGGAGCTCAGTGAGTTTGGATAGAGAGTGTTTGTGAACAGCAGGTTTAGTTCTTTCCACAGATTCTCAATAAGATTCAGGTCTGGACTCTACTTCTCCTTTCTAACACCTGGATATGTTTATTTGTTAACCTTTACATTGTAGATTTTCTTTATGTTTTGGATAATTGTCTTCTCTCCATCCCAGTCTCAGGGCTTTGCAAACTCCAGCAGGTTTTCTTCCAGAATGGTCCTGTTTGTGGTTCTTTCCATCTTCCCATCAATTTTCACTATCTTCACGGTTCCTGCTGAAGCAAATTAGGCCCAAACCATGATGCTGCCATCACTAGGGTTGACAGTTGGTATGGTGTGTTTAGGGTAATGAGTTGTGTTGCTTTTACGCCAAACATACGTTTTTCATTGTTGCCAAAAAGTTAGAATTTGGTTCCACCTGACCAAAACACCTTCCTTCACATGTCTGCTGTGTCTCCCAGGTGGCTTGTGGCAAACTTTAAACCAAACTTTTTATGGATATGCTTAATAAATTGGTTTCATCCATAAAGGCCATGTTTGTGCAGTTTAGTACCTCAGCTCTCTGCAGTTCATCCTAAGTGATCGTTTGCCTCTTGGCTGCATCACTGATCAGTATTCTCCTTGTTTGAGCTGAACATTTACGACAGGGACTTTATAGATTTGCAGCCGTCTGATACTCCGTCCATTTTAATATTATCGGTTGCACAGTTTTCCTTGAGATGTTTAAAGCTTGGGAATTATTTTTGTATCCAAATCAGGCTTTAAACTTCTCCACATCAGTATCTCAGATCTACCTGGTGTGTTCCTTGTTCGTCATGATTCTCTCTACCTTTAAACAAACTTTTGCGACTATCACAGTGCAGGTGCTTTTACACATAGACTTGATTACACACAGGTAGATTCTAAACATCAATCATTAAGGTCAACATTGGATCAATCAGAGATCCTCACTGAACTTCTGGGGAGTTTGATGCACTGAAAGTAAAGGGGCCAATACATTTTGCATGCCCCACTCTTCAGCACTTATATTCTAAATAACAATTTAAATATCACATAAATTTTGTTCCACTTCATGATTATGTCCCACTTGTTGTTAATTCCTCAAAAAAAAGAAAAAAAAGAAAAAAAATATTTCTTAATGTGAATGAAACCTGAAATGTGGCAAAAGGTAAAAAAGTTTAAGGGTGCTGAATACTTCCACAAAGCACTATAGATATGTGGATGACACTTGGGTCAAAATCCAAACCCAGGAAGTTGTGCCATACACAAAGTACATCAAGTCAGTGGACAGAAACATCATGTTCACTAGAGAGGATGCCAAGAACAACATGCTGCCCTTTCCAGACTGTGCTGTGCACATTGAGGGCAATAGAAGGTCTATAAATGTGGTTAACTGAAAACCAGCACACACGGACCAATATCTGGATTTTGAGTCACATCATCCACTGGTACATAAACTTTCTGTTATCAGAACTCTGTATAACTGGGCTGACAATATTTTTTCAATTGCAGAGGAGAAATGAAAAGAACACAAACATGTCAGGAAAACGCTAGTAGCATGTGGTTATCCAAACTGGACATTTGTTAAGTTCTCCAAAGAAGAAGGAGGAAGAACAACACTGCATGAGAAAAAAAGAGGGAATCAAAAACATTGTAATTTCAAGTGTGTCAGGAGCTTCTGAGAAACTCGGGAGGATGTTCTCTAAACATAACATACCAGTGAAATTAAAACCCAACAAGACACTCAGACAAAACCTGGTTCATCCCAACGACAGAAGGCCCCAATCAAAGCCGAGTGGCGTAGTTTATGCAGTCAAGTGCAGCGAGGACTTCTATATTTAAGACAACACAAGGACATAAACACATGGTGCAAAACAGGAGATCCAGCAGCTCAGGGGAAGATTATGCTGTACATCTGCACTTTACGAATTAAGGACACACCTTTGGTGACAAAAAAGTTCTGATTCTTCAACAGAGAGGACAGATAGTTTTAAAGAGGGGTGAAGGGAGCCATGTTTGTTAAAAGGGAAAAGCCATCAGTGTACAGTGGGGGAGGATTGCGTGTTCAACTTACAAGTATTTACAATTCTGTCCTGAAACTCAGTCCAAAGAAATTGCATAAGATCACTCATGATTCAAATGGCCTATCACTAAGACCATACACAAAAAAAACGGCTCCAACAACCCAGGAAAATGATTGGGTGACAAGTTGGTGGCCCACATATCATCCAACCTGCATCCAACCTAGAATGTGGTCACTGTAATAAGATGGACCTCCATGCTGCTTAAAAACATCAATGCCCCAGCTATGATTACTTTAGTGCGAGAGAAATTCCTGGATAGGTGTTGAAATATCTTCAGAAAACCTGAGCGGCTGTCTGATTGTATCCAATTTAAGCTTTCGTTGTGGTTGCCATGTCCCAGATGAATGATAATTTACACAGCCATGTCTCATCAAATCATTCAAGTTATGGTGATTATCTCATGTTAAAGCTCAATCAGCTGTTTTTGTAAAAGTTGATTTGATGTGACACTAAAATATCACACTGACCAGAACAGAACAGAAAACATGTGAAGTAGGACTTTTCATAGAGGTGGAACTTTCCAATCTAACAGAAAAAGGAGTCTAAAACTTGCCTCTTTTTTCGGAGCAAATAAAACCGTAAGGATTTTTATTAGATTTGAAACAAAGTACATTGAGGAATATTGTGTTTGATCATGCATTTACAGCACAGGCGTAACTTTCTGAAGGTCTGGTGTGGACATGTTCCCACCAACTTTGGCCTGCTGGGGACAGTCCCCACCAATAATTTCCATAATTTCCCCTTTCTGCTGATTAACTGTCGCCAAAGGTAACAGAGTTGGGTGCAGCTATCTGTTTTTAGAGCATTTTGAGTCAGTTTATTTTTTTTTCTTTCACACTGCTCGCGTGTCCTGCCTCTCAGTAAAACATCATCGGATCCGTCACTTTCAGACATCATATTTGCGGTCACATTTCACTGCATACAAAGTAGCTTCATGGTTGGAGGAGAGACACACTTAGTGAATATTAACCAGCAGCTACTTCGATGTTTAAGTAAAAGTTAGGAGATGTGCAAAGAAAAAAAAAAAAAGAAAAAAAAAAAGAGATCATACCACTGAAAAATCTGTTTGTTAGACATACGGAGCTTTTTCAGCTAAAAATGGCATTGTACGTTTATACTAGTTAGTAATATAATGCAAGGAGCTTGAGAAAACAGTTTGTTCATCTTTACAAATTAATAAAGCTAGGCTTCTCAGAGGACCATGACTCCCCCTAAAATTAACATGTTTTCTTATTGTCCAGACAGAATCAGACTGCAGAGCTTCTACATATCTTGAAATGTTGTTTCTGGCATCATTATATTAGTAAAAGGGTTCATAAATCTTTTTAAACAACACAAATAGAAGTAGGGAGAGCTGCAGATTTAAAGGTGAAACAGATTTACTGGGATATGCAACGTGAAATAAAATATACCTCTAAGTTTACCAGAATGTTTACAAGAAAATAAATATGCTATGCTGTATTTAAAATGAAGTGTATCCATATTTTTTTGGATGGATGGAATTGAAATTGTACTTCTAGGGATGCATCATATATCGATTTCGGCATCGGAATCGGCTTTTATTCGTTTTTCTTTTATACATTAATGTTTTTGGGCCCTGTATATGTAATGCACTAAAATACATCTCTAACTATCTGTAAATATAAATATTAGTGTATTATAGTTCTCTTGTGTTCTCAACAATAGCAAAGCATTCAATAATTATATGTTTGAGCTCATTTTTGGAAAATACCAAAACCTAATGAAAGCGTTTTGGTCCAGTAACTGTAGGTCCATCAGCCATCAGTATGCCCACCAATTTTCATCACAAAGTTACACCCTTGATTTACAGGCTCAGTAGAATTTCAATTAGGGACATTTATTGAACATGAAAATAAAACTTTCTGACCACTCATCATGTGACGTGACAGATAAGCTATTCGGACAAATGAATAAGAAAATCCCTGAACCACTAACATTAACAGTAAACATTTTAGTTAGAAGTCTCTTAAACCAAAGACAAACTATTAAAGCTGCTGTTTTGATACAGACAGTGAACAGTCATATAGATTCACCACTGTAAACAAACAATTTTGCAGACCTTGTTTTAGTTAACACTGCATTATTTTCTGAAAATATTCTGCTAGTTTGAAGTTGCCTCAGTTCTAAGCTGTGTTTGGATCAGTTTGCTTTCACTGCAACCATTATTTAAATGTAATAAAAAGGAATGATGCATTTCTAAGCGCCCAGAGTTATAACTAGTGATTAGTGATGATGTGTATTGCTAATCAAATCTACATTTCAGATTCATAACATTCGGAAATTAGGATATTAAACTAGAATATTGCTATCACAACTTTAGTTATAAATAACCAACATTTTTACTTGCTATCCTGTACTTTCTCAAACTAAACATCTATCCAACACATTCCTGCAAATGTCTAAACTTTGTCAGCAAGTATATTGGTTTATGTTATAGAAAGTCCAACAAAATTAGCAAACCACTGAAAAATTACAAGCAATACAATTTAACATCCAATAATTTTAAATCCGAAGGAAAAACAATGAAAAAATGCATTAATATTGTGATGAAAACGTCATCCAAGGTCTGAAGCATCTGGAGCAAATGATTTTGATATGGATTCATTCTCTAAAACTGTAAACAAACACAAACACGTGTTGAGCTTATTTGACCTAAAATAAAGAATCTTGTGGGATTTACGACAAAAAAAATGATTTTATTGACATAGCTGATACTTAATAAGGATTCATGTTGTAATTCAAATATGACTTATATTTTGGTCAAGTAAATTCAACTTAAAGGTAGTCAATCAAAAGCCTGGGCTAATGTTATTGTAATTTTAAGCAATTGATAAGTTAAGCAGTATGCAGGTATTAAAGGAGCCGATGATGCTAATGGTCGTGATTTTTTTCCAATCACAACACAGTTAGAGGCCCCACCCCTTCATTCAATCCCTCAGACTGTGAGACTTGCCATTTGAAAAGGATGATTAGCGCAACAATGCCTCCCTTATTTGCTGAGCCCATGTTGACAGTTAACCGTTTTAGATTCACGCGTTTCCTCGGTGGTCAGCAACTTTGTTTACTAATCATAAAATCGTAAGCATACGTGTGAGACGTGAAGGCTTTCAGTTATATCGATCAAGTGCATAATCTTTGAAAATGCAACTCTTGAAATCTAATGTGGGAGACAGCTGATTTAGAGATTTAAAGAGCGGCTGATTCCTGTGGGGATAATGCTAACGTGAATGCTAAACAACGGCTAGCTTGTTAGCCTCCAGCAGCAGCTAGCTTCTAGACTTCTGCGACGTCTAGCCATTAAAATAAAAAATAAAAAAATATTTTCCCAAAATACGAAGCAGTTCCTCTCGAAGGGAGACACTATCCTTCAGCGTGCACTGTCTGCAGCCAATAAACAGATAAGAATCTCTTTCCCTTCCGTGATTTCTACATCATAACACCAATATCATGCACACCAACAGCGGCTTCCAAACGTTAACTACAAACACGAGCACGCGCATATCGCGTGCGCGAGTAGCTCTGGATTTTTTTGTGCAGTGAACAAAAATCCGGGTCGCCTCGGCCCCCAGGTTCTCAAAGCTGTAGTATCTTACCCCCTTGGCGGCGGCGGTTTGCTCCCATCCCCGTCACTGTCGAGGGTCGGTGGCTCCCGGTAGTCAAAAGGCGACCGTACGCTCTCCGCCATTAGGGCTGCCTTCACTACCTCTGGCGCTCCGGTAGATTGCACAGTGCGCATGCGCAAAACATCCTTCTGTTAAAATGGGGTGCAGCCCACCCCCTTTAAAGATGTGGACATAATAATATTAATAATAATAATACGCTAGTTTGCTATATTTGAATTACATGAAAAACAACAAGATATAAAGAAAACTAAAACAAACAGGAAAAAATACAGGATAGAGTTTTAAATCACCATATTGAAACAATAATATGACCACAAATTTATCAATTTTGGACCATTTTAATTGTTATTTTTTATACACCAGTGGTGTCAAAAGTACACACATTTGTTACTTAAGTATAGATACTGCATTTTAAAAACACTCTGGTAAAAGTTGAAGTATCAACTTGACCTTTTTACTCAAGTAAAAGTGAAAAAGTATGTGCTCCAAAAACTACTTAAAATATAAAAGTATAAAGTAACCTTTAATAAAAACAGCCAGATGCCATTATATGAACTGAAAGCTCAATTTTTCGACTATTTTGAAAAATTCTTTGAGATAGGACCAAGGATGACAGAGGTCTTGTTTGGTCTCCGTCTCCATCTCCCGATAGACTCTTCTTTCAGACATTTCAACATCTTTTTCTAAATCCAACATTGTAGCATGGCATAGACAATTCACCTTTGCAGATTGAAGAACATCTGCTTGCTTCTGATGATTTCCTTCAGCTTACCAATGAGTGTTTGCGTTATATGACTCATCCAATTACACTAGTTTTCACTAGATATGGATGGCGCCAATGATCTGCATTGGATGGCACACATGAGGTGAAATACATACTTATAAACATTAAACTGAAGCCAAGAGTAACGAGTTACCTTTGTTTTAAAAATGTAAGGAATAGAAATGACAGATACTTGTGTGAAAATGTAATGAGTAGAAGTCAGAAAGAGGAAGAAAAATAAGTAATGGAGTAAAGTATAGATGCCTAAAAAGTGTACTTAAGTACAGTAACAAAGTATTTGTACATTTTTACTTGACAGCTCTGGTATACACAGAGTGTATACAAAACTAAATTTCATTTTATACAGCTTTCATCACATTTCCATTCTGTGATTAAATGTAAAGAATGTGGGAGGAAAAAGCATGGTGCAAAAAAACATATTGATATCAAAGTTCATGGCATTAAGTATGTATATATGCGGTAATTATGCAGTGTTTTGGTTTGGTGTTATCAGCGTGATGCAGAGTCTGTGACATGATTTAGAGTTTTCTCAACAGTTCAGCTGTCTAATGGTAGTGGGGAAGAAGTTGTTGGTTGAATCTGCTGGACCTGCGTCAAATGCTGCGAAGCCTCTCCCGAGAGGGCGGCAGGGAGCACTGTCCATGGTGGGGTGAGGGGTCATTGATAATGATACAGGCTTGGGACACGCAGCGCTGGGATGAAATGGATTTTATGGAGGGAAGAGGAGCCTTAATGATCCTCTCTGCTCTTCTCACCACTCCTCTCACTTTCTTCCAGTGCTCTACACTGCAGCCTCCACACCACACAGTGAGACAGCTGGTCAGAACGCTCTCTATGGTGCTTCTGTAGAGGGTGGTGAGGATGGGTGGGGGCAGGTGGGCTCTCCTCATGCTACTCATGAAGTACATGCGCCTTTATGCCCTTTTGATCAGTGAGGTGGTGTTTACATTTCTGGTAAGGTTGTTTGTGATGTGCACCCCCAGAAATTTGGTGCTGTTGACCACCTCTACAGCTGAGCTGTTGATGAGCAGTGGAGCGTGGTTAGGGAGGTTCTTCCTGAAGTCCAAGATGATTTCCTTGGTCTTCTCCACATTCAGCATCAGGGTGTTGTTTCTGCACCAGTCCACCAGCTGCTCCACCTCTTCTCTGTAGTCCTGGTTGTTGTCGTCTCTGATGAGGCCCACCACCGTGGTGTTATCTGCAAACTTCACGATTTGATTAATGGTGAAGCTGGGTACATGGTAATGTGTCATAAGAGTAAACAGCAGGGGGCTCAAGATACAGCCCAGAGGGGTGCCTGTGCTTAGGGTGATGATATCAGAGGTGTTCTGTCCAACCCGGACTGACTGAGGTCTGTTCAGCAGCCCTTAACTATTCAAAGTGTACCCTACCTCTAGCCCATGAAGATAATCCAACGGTAAAAATGCCTGCCTAATATCTAGAGGTGTAAGTTAATCAATAACAGGGCAACTTTTAGAAAAACCAAATGTTTGAACCAATCATAAAAGTTTCTGTCTGACTCTATGTGGGTTATGTTTGTTCAGTTTCTTTTCAATTGAACTGATAATGAAGTTAAACAAGACTTTAAGTTGTCCAAATAGAACTTAAGGTGGATTCAATACGTTTTCTACTTCCAAATTCTTTTCTATTTAAAGTGTGTCAAATAAGTATTGAACACAGCATAATTTTTCTCAGGAAATATATTTTTAGAGGTGCTAATGACATGAAATGTTCACCAGATGTCAGTAACAGTCCATGCAATCCACACATACAAAGAAATCAAAACAGATGCACAGAAATTAAGTTATTGAAGTTATTGGTAATAAAGTGAAAGGAAAAAGGAAAAGAGAACTTAAGACACTTACTGAAATGTATTTAATACTTTAATACACCTAGACTTAGACAAACTTTTTGTTATTTTGTATTCACAGAGTGTATACAAAATACAATTTCGATACATACAGATTTTCGACAGTGAATGAGCAGCAGCTTAGCAGTGAATGAACATTTCCATTTATAAAGTGCAGCGGTGATCAAAATGTAAACAGTGTAGGAGAGACATGGTGCAAAAGGCATTGATGTAGAAGGTTCAGTGCAGTGCAAAATACAAATAAATATATATGGTGCAAAATGCAGTAGAAACACTGAGTTGAGTTCTATTTTGAAGATTCACCATGTAGTGCAAGTATGATGTTTGAAGTGTGATGCAGAGTCTCGATTTGTGAGTTGATTAAAGTTTTAGACTTTACAGAAGTCTTTGTTGGTAATGGCAGCTTCAAGACGCCACATGTATGGAGAAATTAGTCCCATGCATTGCTCGGGTGTGATTTTGGCCCATTCTTCCCCACAAACAGTCTTCAAATCTTGAAGGTTTCATTTGGCTCTTCTATGAATTCTGATCTTTAGCTCTTTACATAGATTTTCCATCGGATTCAAGTCAGGTAATTGGCTGGGCCATTCTACCAGCTTTATTTTCTTTCTCTGTAACCAAACTAAAGTTTCCTTGGCTGTGTGTTTGGCTTCATTGTCTTGCTGAAATGTCCAACCACGTTTCATCTTCATCATCTTATTAGATTGAAGCAGATTTTTATCTAGAATGTCTCTGTGTATTTTTCCATACATCCTTTCTTCAGTTAGTTGAAGTTTGCCTGCACCATATGCTGGAAAACAACCCTCCTCCATGATGATCCCACCTCCAAACTTCATTATTACTATGGTGTTTTTGGGATTGACGTGCAGTGTAATTTATACTCCAAACATGATGTGTCTTATGAGGTCCAAATAGTTAATTTGGACCAAATAGTGCATTCTCAGTATTTCACAGGCTTGCCTAAATGTTGTGCAGCAAACTTTAAACGAGCTTCAACATGCTTCGTCTTCAGCAAGGCAGTCTTGCATGGTGAAACCTCATATAGGCCATGCTTGTTGAGTGCATTATGTATTGTTTTCTTTAAAANTATGATGCTGCGCATCTGGCATGCCCTGCGGGCGACCGCGCGAGTTCACGTGACAAAGGAAGAGAGATACAGTAGGCTGGTCGGCTGGTGGCTCATATTGGGGCATTGTTTCAGTCGTTTTTAATGGCTCAGGTTTTCAAAAGATCATTTCAAAACCGACTTCAGTAAAATCTTAATATATTAATAATAATAAAATAAAAATAAAAAACGAGTTTCAAAAGGGCATTTTCTTTGAAAAAGGGCAAACTTCCTAGTGCTTTAGCACCACCTAGTGTCTATGTATGCACGCCGCTGTGTATTATGACGTCCAAATAGCTCATTTTTGGACTCGTCTGAACAGTCTACATTCTCCGAGTATTTCACAGGCTTGTCTAAATGTTGTGCAGCAAACTTTAAACGAGCTTCAACATGCTTCGTCTTCAGCAAGGCAGTCTTGCATGGTGAAACCTCATATAGGCCATGCTTGTTGAGTGCATTATGTATTGTTTTCTTTAAAATAATTGTACCTGCTTATTCCAGGTATTTCTGAAGCTCTCCACAAGTAGACTTTGGCTCATGGACAACTCTTGTGATAATCATTTTCCTCTGTCAGAAATCTTGTGAGGAGCTCCTGGTCGTGATCGGTTTATGATGAAATTATGTTCTTTCCACTTCCAGATTATGGCCCTAACAGTGAGTTAATTAGCCCCAAAGAGAAGCTCCTGGATGAACAACAACATAGTTGTTTCATTTTAATTGCCTGTGCAGGTCAGATGCAGGACAAACTGGGACCCATCTAGAGCTCATCCTCATTGGTTATAATGCAGATCCTAAACAATCTGAGTGGAGAGCTACTGTTACTATAACAATTTAGGGTTTCCAGCTAGTTGTGTTGTTATTTAGTACACCCGTGTGGGTTTAATCTAGATGTTTTGAGCCCAGTAACACTTATTTCAGATGCAATTATATTCATATCAAGCACAAATATAGCTGGGAGGCTCAGAGAGAACAGCACCAGAGTGTTGTGAATATTTTCTATTTAATCTTAAATGCCACTTTTCCATTTGCCGATAGCAGAGCATTATCAGAAACAAAGACTTGAAAACATTCAACTGTGTGTGTTAAATTTTGTGAAATTATTTACTGAAATAATTTCTTCCTTTTTTTTTTTTTTTTTTACAGTTTCTGTTTTTGAAAAAATGTAATGAAAAAAAGGAATAAAGTCCTGCAGTACACTGAACAGATTGTGGTGATTTTGCGATTTGTTTACAGGTTCTGTTTAACCCTCTTTTTCTGTCAATTGCCTACTTTGTTATTATGATATCCTAAGGTCTTATAGAACAGGTACAGTTACATAAATATTTCTTTGTAACTTTTTTA